ATGAAGAAGGAGAAAAAGGACAAGGCACACCCAGTTTCCTCCATCTTGTCCCCTTTGGACCCCTCATCTAGAATCCTAAAATTTTACTTTTGCACTCATGCCACACTTAATTATTACTTATATCAAACACTCAGAGCTGGTAATTCATCCTGTAAGATTGAAAACTCTTTTCCTTGGCCAGAGATCACAGCCAGTGTCTCTGGGGGCTCTGTCCAGGGGGTTCCTGACCCCTGCCAGGGTCCCAGGGCAGCCAGAGGGAAGCTCTGGATTCCCACACTGCCTCACCACTCTGCCATTTTAAAAACATTCAGGTCTTAAAGCCGCTCACAAAGTATGACCAGCTTGAGGCAAAACCAACGTGGACTGGCTTCAAGAGGAGAACTGAACAAAAACAATATCCTGGCTTGAGTCTGCTGCCACTGTTACAGCTCTGCCCTTATTTTCTGCACTCCACGCCACTTTCCCTCTGAGATAATTGTTGCCAAGTGGCTGTTTGGAACAAGGTTCAGTGCAGATTGTTAAAGGAGAGATAGGCTTCTGCTTCTGTCTTGCTGACTATTTTTGCTTTATTCCCCATCTCAGACAAAAACATTCCGCGGGTATCTGTTTACTGTTTGTGCACAATGCGTTATGGTAGGAAATGGTCTCTTCCTCCCTCATTTTACAGCATTTGCACCTCATCCTGGGGTGACCTCCCAGCAGCTGCACAGACCTTTATGACCACAGAGCTCCAGCCCTATCACTCTGTCCCTGAGCCAGCCTTCCAGAAGGGGAATGCCATTGGCTTTGGGTTTGGGCATGCAGTGGGAAATGCGTTCACAGGCTGGACCCAGAGTGACAGCCTCACTCTGTCTCACATTTGCCCTGTTTGAAGTCTATAAACTGCTGGACTGGGTTTACAAACATCATCTTAACCCAAGCAGCACTAGCTGAGTCCTTCAGCAGTCTCATCCAGACAAGCACCTTACTCAAATTCCTTGGGAATGATCCCATCCTCTCTCTGAATTTGAGGTCATGGGGCATACGAGACCGGAATCACAGATTCTGGTAATGGCCACAATAGAGGAGCCTTATAAAAGAAGGAGAAAGGAAGCTCAGGCTGTGTCCACTTTGTCATGGTCATAGTAAATAGCAAGATTTTGGTTTTAAAAGAAAAAAAACATTGCCAATAATCACCCCCTGGGAAGCATC